TAGCAAATGTTATGTCCGCTGAGAGCAGGCTCTATTCCCGGCTCAAGGGACACAGCAGTAAGCAAGATGAAAGAGTAAAACCAAAGTCCTTACTGTGACCTGCCAGGCCCGGTCCCCTCTGTGCCTCCTCTTCTCTCCCTGCACTGGCTCTGTCTCTCCTTCCCCACTGGCCTTGGTGTTTCAAAAACATGCTGCCCGACGCTCCCTTCTGCCTGGCAGACTCTTCCTGGAGAGAGTTCTACAACCTCCCCCGCCCCCTGAAGCATTCCACTTCATTGTTTCCTCCACATCGGACCTTCCCTGAGTACTCATGGAGTAACCTCTCCCAGCCTCCAAGCACACCAGTCACACCAGCTTTCTCTTTCTCCTTTGCACTGTTTACTCTCCGACTTAGTATTTATCAAATAATTACGAGTTTATTGTATATCTCCCTCCCCTGCAGGATACACTCCTTGAACACAGGGGCTTTCCTTTGCTCACTGCTGCATCCCATTGCCCAGACTAGTACCTGGACACGGGTCTTAGGAACCATTCATTAAATGATGAGGACGAAATGAGTGAAAGAATAAACAACTGAGTGAATGAATGAAAAAAAGCTCAATGTTTCTAACCTCGAAGAATGTAGAAGCTGGGAGCAGGGGAGACATAGAATAAATAAAGAAAATAACTACAGCTTGTACGGTAGGGCAGTGGCTCAGAGGCTGGTAAGTCTATGAGGGTTCAAGTTCCTGCTCCACCGATGAGCTGGGTTTTCAAGGGCCTCCTTTTGATCATCTGTGAAATTGGAGTAAGAGTCATCATCCTATAGGATTACTCTGAAAACTGAACAAATAAAATCATATGAAATGCTTACTCAGCATGGTGCCTGGTATATAATAAGCTCTTGATAATTTTTAACTGCTGTTACTATTGGGTGACCTGCAGAATCAGGTGGAGCCTGGAAGGTTCTTTGGGACTTCTTCCCCCACCCTGGTCTGGCGTCACTGGGCCGGCTCTGTCTGGGGGCAAAGTCTGCAAAGGCCCCTGCCAGAAAGACCATCCCCGGCCACAGTTGTGTCTCAGGGTTTCTTTGAACTACCAGCAGCATCCCTCATCCTGCCTTCAAACACGTATTAAACAATTCATCTGCCCAGGCGGACCCTAAACAATACATCCATCCCCGCTGGAAAACCTGTTTCCTGTTTAAATATTAGCAACCAGTGCACCATTATGTTGGTTTTTTCCTTTTCTAGTAATTTTTAGGCTGCGGTAAATCATTGCTCAAGGCTGCACTTTAGAGGGTGTTTGCAAGTCCGTCTCGTGCCTCGTGATACAGAGACAGCCATGTCCAAAGTCATTCTGACAGCTTGTGCTTTAATGTGTCTTACCATTTGAAGAAGGGCGGCTTCTCATCCGTCAGCCTTCTTAAGAGGGTGGGGCTTTGATCTCAAATCCTCGGGAGGCTTTGCAGAAATTGGAGGTGACGCTGTTGACAGGTCCGTCTGTAGCTATCCTACTGCCATTAATTACACACGTGCACACACCCTTTATTTACGCCCACGGAGTAAAGGAATTGAACTTGACTTTGGTTTTTGATGGGAAGCTGTGAGAGGGTCCAGGAAACATCAAAGGAATACTCTTAATCTAGGAACACTGACTCTCAGATACCCTCATTTGAACATTAAAGGGTTCTCGATTCCAGAGCTGGTCTAGCTTCTTCACTGTAAAGCGTTAATTCTCCTTCATGGTAAAAGTTCAGGGGCAGGTAATCCCCAGTCCATTAAACTCCAGAGGGATACAGACGCTTTAATTTTATCTCACTTCTCAAGGTCTCTTTTGTAAAATTGTATATACATTTTTTTTGCATTTTCACACGGCTTGCACTTTCAAGATCTTAGCTTAAATAAGAATCTTAAAACTTTATTTCTTTTGCACTTTAGTTATAGATTTTTGGAAGGGCTGCAGCTATCCTAAAGCATTCTTATGCTCCCAAACCTTTAGAAATGAAGGCACACACAGGTTCCGCCCCCTGTTTGTGCAGATGGTGCCTCGCAGAACCTAGTTGTCAGGAGGTCCACGTTCATGTCTGCTTAGGGAACCCCACTAAACCACTCACTGACCCCAACAAATAGCCATCTACATGCCTGTTGGGGGCCTGTTTTAAGTTCTAAAGAGCAGTGAGCAGAAGAGACAAAACCCTCCTCTTACAGAGTTTATGTTCCAATGGACAATCCCCGCAGTCAGTAAATGAATCACACAGTGTATTAGAAGGTGTTAAAGACAGTGGTGTTAGAGTCGGTTCGTGTTTTCAGTAGGGTGGTCTGAGAAGGCCTCATTGACAAACTGACATTGGAACAAAGACCGGAAAGAGCTGACAGACGAGTGTGCCATTGGCCCAGGTGTGGGAAGAGGCAGTGGGGAGTGCAGGATTCTGAGGCTGAGGATGCCTGGGGTGTGGGCGGAGCAGCAAGGAAGCAGGGAAGCTGAGTGCAGGAGCAGGGTCAGAGGTGTCAGGAGCAGGCTGCTCAGGGCCTTGTGAAACAGGGAAGATGTTGGCCTTTTCTCTAGTGAGGTAGGGGCCCTGGGAGGTTTTGAAGTGAGCAGTGACATGAGCTGATTGACATTGAGTAGCATCCTGTGACCAGTGCACAGAGGCCAGCGGACTAGTTAGATGGCCGTTGCATTGCTGTAGGTCAAAGATGCGGTAGGTTGAGCCAGGGTGGAAGTGATGAGAGGTGTTTAGATCCGGGACATGCTATAAGAGCACCATCAACGGGTTTCCCCGCATATCGGGTGAAGGGCTAGGAGTGTCTGCAAACTCCAAGCCCAAGCACCTGGACCATGCGGACCTCTGCCACACATGAGGCATTGTTAATGGTTCTACTGGTCTCCAAATTCTTATCAGTCAATCAGCGTGCTCCTGGCTGTGAACCTGGGACACTCTGATGGCTGGGAGGGACAGCTGTGTGATCTTGTCAGCTCAGTTTCTGAGAAAATGGCACTGGCGTCATCCGTGAGAGAGAACTTTGCTCACCAGGGCAGGTTGCTCCGTCCTTCTCGGCACGGCTGGCTGCTCCTGTGGCTCGTCACTGTGGGAGAGGACGGGGTAGGGGTTGGTGCCACCCAGCCAATGTCTCAGCTCCGAGTCTGGCAAACACAGGGAAAGGGCCACAGCATTTGAGAAGCTAAGGTGAAGACAAGGAGTAGGGAGATAAGAAGATTTTAGTCCAAACACCTCTGAAGAGAAAAGTCACTGGGACGGTAAAATGTGCGTCTTTTCCTTGTAAGGGGCTCCCCTTTCTGTTCCTCTCTCTCATGGCTCCCAGTTGGAAGAGAAGAGAAGGAATATTTCCAGAATCAGCAGAGAGGTGGTTAATGGACTAACCCAGCACATGACCAAAGCAAAGGTTAAGTCCCATGTTTAGCCATGGAAGATGGACAGGAAGAGTGTGAGGATCGCTCTGGCCACACAGATGGGGGGTACGGTGGCCCCAAGAGCCCACTCTTCACAGCATGCACCCTGGCCTTTCCGACTAATGCCAACCACCAAGCCGACTGCGAGAGAACAGGAGGGCTTGTCCACTATGAGGGTGGCCAAGCGGGGAGCCAGAAATTCCACTCTGTTTATTTTCCTGGAGTCCCATTTCCCATCCCTGCCTTGCTCACATGGGCTTGAGTAAATCGTCATCTGATGGAGCTGTTGTCTCAGGAAAAGCAAAGGGCAGCCCTGGAAGCCCTCAAAACAGCAGGTGCAGGGCAGAATGAAGAAGACCAGGGAGGGCGGAGGCCGTGGAAAGTATTTTCAGGCGGCCAAGAAGTCCACGAGGCTGATGAGCTTGAAAAGAGAGCAGGTGGATTGTGTGCGGGGGTGGGGGGGGGCGGACTAATGCCTAAGGCACACACTGAGCCTACCAGGATAGTGTGATAGGGAGACCAGACGGGCTGGCATTTGGTCAAACTAGGTGGTGGACTTTTATTTTTAAAAGATTTTAAATCCTAGGAACCAGGAACCATCAGGGTTGTGAGGCCTTTAATCCCACCAGTCAAAGATAAAAGTATGCCCTTTAAAATGGTAAATGCACCAATTATAGAATTTCTGTTATCAAAACTTTGGCACAGACTGCCAGCTTGGGAAACTTCAAGGAATCTCTGAGCTTCATTGATGGGAACATAAACTAGAGAAATAATCTAAGGATTACAAGTTGATGTAAAGATTCCCGAAGAAGTCAATTAACTAAATGTCCATTCTGAACCAAATAAAATATAATACAGTTGTATGAAACAGGCTGGCTCACATACAGCGTTGGAAGAACAGCTAACAATGTCATCAGGGGCGGACCGATTATTTAGTAGATTTTGAGTTGTGTCGTGAGCCGGATGCAGACATTTAAGCACCTGTCGCTTCCTGGAACCCTGGCCCCGGTGCTGGGCCGCCAGCTGCCGTGTCTCCGTGAGCCCAGCCTCTGTGTGCCCACAGCCGCTCCAGGGAGGGAGACACCACAGCAGCTCTGTTTTATAGTCCTGGTTTCTATCTCAGCCATGACCCAAGGGTCCAGGCTTATCTCCATAACCCTTTTCCAGCAGGACTCACCCTGGAAGAGACCCCAGCCGAGGCGCAGTGCGGAGTTGTTTTGTGCGCATGTGTGACACAGAGTGAAAGCCATTCTGATAGACACGGCAGGGCCGTGGGGCATCGGGCTGCAGGCTGGAGAGTTCATCAAGGATCGTGAAATAGCCGATCCTTCTGCCAAGAGGAAAAGTCTAATTTCATTTGTTAAAAATTCAAAGAAATGTTAAATATTAAGAGAAAGTTTTAAGTAGGGCAATTTATTGTCATTTTCTGTCTAGAATACACCAATGTACCCACTTAGTAAATCTCGATGATGCAGTATCATTTTGGATGCGATTTCACAAGCATTTCTTTCCTGACTTACTCCTGCAAAGAGTAACTGTTATTTTGAGCCTGCGTGGAGTTGCTTGGCAGCTCCGCTGACTGGTTGTCGTTGGTTTTGTCTGTGAAGGTACGGGGACCTGGCGAGCCCCAGCTGGGAAGAAGACAGAGGCCAGAGCTCATCCGAGTCCAAGACGGTGATCAGGAAGTGAGTATGTCTTCTCGCTGCGTCGCGAGCTCTGGGGCAAGACTTTTCTCTCGGAGGAGTGTGGTTTAGTGGAGCTTTATTCCTTTGCAATTTTGCCGTGTTTTCCCATAATGTATAAGCACATGGAATTATTTTTTGATTGTCTAATGATACTCATTTATTCATCCAGTAAAAATGTATTGAGCGCCTACTGTTTGCCAGGTCCTGTGTTAAGGGTTACAGCCATGGACAAAATAAGTAAGTCCCAGCTCTTACAAAGCCAATATTTTAGCAGAGAGACAGAGCCCACAGCAGAAAGGATGAGGTGGGTTAAGGGGCTGGATCCTGGGGGAGAGCTGGATTCACACGGGGTACCAGGACCGAGCCTTCTGATCTGGTGACGTCGGTTCAGACACCCGCCTAGGCTTAATGCATACCCAGGGCAAAGAGAATTCGGGAAAGGCCGTGAGGCAGGAGCAGCAGGGAGGGGTTGAGGGGCGAGCAGGGCGAGTGAATTAGCAGTTGATAGGGGATAAGATTTGTAAGGTGGTGGGGGTCCCAGCCCACGTGGGGACTCAAAGGCCTTGGGTAGCACTTTGAATTTGATTCGGAGGAAGGGGAGCATTTAGAAAGTTTTGTGAAGACTAGTGCTAGACCTGACTGATATTTTTAAAGGCTTATGCTGGCTCTGGCCATGGCAGTGGGGGCAAGAGTGCCAGCAAGCAGCCTGGTTAGGCCCCTTCAGAGGATCCAGGCAAAGGAAGAGCGTGGGTGGACTCGAGGGTTCTGTAGAGGAACTCGGCTTCTGCAGAGCGTTGCAGGTGTTGCCAACAGACTGAGCTGATGGGGCGCACGGGCATAGGAACAGTTGTAGGACGGAACGGCAGCGTCACGGGACAAGACGCACGGGTGGGCGGGAACAGGTCGCTGGAGACTGCGTGTCAGTAACTTAGTCTTCAGTGTGTCAATTTTGAGGTCATCAGTTGATCTTAGATTTCAGGGGGAAGTCGGGACTGGAGGTCCACACTTTAGTTTATCCGTGGTATTCAAAGCTGCGGGACTGGATGTGACCTCCTGGGGACGAAAGGTAGATAGAGAGGAGAGAGGTGCCAAGAAGTAGATGGGCTGTTAGATTCAGGTAGGGCGGTGGGACAGGGCTTTCTGACCCGACAGTGCTGAATCAGAGCTTTGCTTCTCTCCAGTGTTTGGAGTTAGGAAAGGAGAGGGTCCAGCAGCAGAGCGGCAGGCAGGCAGGAGAAAAAAGAAGGCGTGTTCAAGGAGACAAGCAAAGAGGGGGTTTCACGGGTGAGGAGTGACCAGCTAGGGCTGCTGCCGCCCAGAGATCCAGCCAGAGGAGTCTGGGAAGTTCCCCATTGCATTTGCAACTCTTGGACCCTTTGCAGAGGTGGGTTAAGCGAGGATGGAAAGGGAGGAAGTAGGGATGGCGACTTTGACAACTTTGGGGGCTCCTTTTGCTGTAAAGGGGAACAGAGAAATAGGATGGAGAATGGTCTGGGTGCAGGGGGTGTTCATTGTGTGTTTGTTTTTTACAGTGAAAGATAGTTTATGTTGCTGAGAACGATCTTGGAGACACTCAGGGAAACTCCGTGATGTGGGGTGGGGCCAGTGCTGTGGCAGTGCTGTTCCTGTGTGGATGGGATGGGTGTCAGAGTGCCGAGGACACTGGCGGTAAAGGCTCATTTGGGGGCCAAAGTGCAGGAAGGAATCTACGGAGTTTTTAACTCAGAGGATTGACCGATGGACCTTTTCTCCTGAACCCAGGCATGTGAAGGTTAGAAACTGTCTTTTCAACTCCCAAATAGGCCCCGGGTAGTTTTGTCTTTTCTTGGATGGGCTGTAACTTTCCAGAAATCCAGACACACCAGTGTAGACGGTTGAATGCCAAGTGCAAAGTGTGGTGAGTAGAACCCATGCTTTTTTCCTGGAGAGCCTGGGGGAGGAGGCTCCTTGGAGGTGACATTTGAGGCAGGTCCCATGAGGTGCGTGTGTGAAGATTTGGGTGGTAGAGCCATGCAGGCCGAGGAAACAGTGGGACCAAACCAGGGACATGCAGTGTCCATGACCTTTCAGGGGACAACACAGAACTGGTATGGCCGCTTCACACTACACAGCGTGGGGTGAACGGAGTGGGTGGAGCTGAAGCCAGATCCGGGCTATAGCACGGAGGGCTTTAATTTCTCCCGAGAGAATTTGGACTTTCCCTGATAGGCAGGCAATGGACAGTCGACTCCCGAACGCTTGGCCTGAGTTTGAGAATATGAGATAGATGATTCTGGAGAATGGATTAGATATATCACCTTCTCATTCAAAGCGTGGTTCACAGACCAGCTGTTTGAGCACTGCCCGGGAGTTGTTAGAGATGCAGAGCGTCAGGCCCTGCCACAGACCAGATTAGAATCTGCCTTTTCACAATATCCCCAAGTGACTCCTACGCCCTTTAAAGTTCCCAGTCACAGGGTTAGAGGGGTTTTGTTGCTGTCGTTGTTAATTTGGTTTGTCCATGAAAACTAACGACAATGAGACTTTTTAAAAAGAGCCTTGTGCTAATGCATCTTTTTAAGCCTATGTGGGAGAGGAGGTACCACTGTGAGCGTTGAGAGGCCAGCTTGTTAAATGTTACCTTGACCCGATTCAGAAATACGCGTGTTGTTATCCACGTGTTTTGGAATCAGGTCAAGTCTGGAGCTTCCATTCAACTAGCCACCTGCACACTCCAAGGAGTGTACCAGTGAAAAATATCCAGAGCTTTTCTGTTCCCTGGGGGGTGTTTGAGATGAACTAGGGTTCTGGGAAGTAGTAGTTAAGGAAAATTGATTTGTACCCTGGATGGGAAGAGCCGTGTTATTTCCAAGGCCTGTTATTATAGAACTTCATTCAGAGTCATTGTACCCCAGGAGCCGTAACGTGGGTGGAACTCCAGGATAAGCTGTTTTAAAGGGCTTTACGGTCTTAAGCACGCCAGGCCTTAACAAAGAGCTTCACACAGAACTGCCCCAGGAGTCCATCATCTGGGGACAATGGTCCTTTCCCGAGGCCTCACAGTGAATTGGTAGAAAGTTCTTGACCCTTTTTCTCAGACTGAGTTGCCTTTTAAGAAAATCCTGCCTGATGAAAACATGCCGTTTTATCTCATCGTGGGCTGCTGTGCCCTACAAATCCCGGGAGGCTGGCCCCTCCGTCTGCTGACCTCTTTCTTCCTTCCAGTCCCCTCTCTGCTGTGTCCCTCACTGCTCCCCGCTCTCCTTTTGTTACGTTTTGTCTCACTTCACCACTGGCTTTTCGCTCTCTCTCTAAATGCGCCCCTGTCCTGATCCTTTTTGTGACTAAATGGCGCCCCTGCTTTGTCCCCCGAGGGGACGTCAGAGGAGCCCCGACTCTGCTCCATAGGCGACAAGGGAGTGGAAGGCCTGGCGTTCTGGCGCCTGACGATGGACGCCTTCCTGGGGGCCGGTAAATGTGGAGCGGGCGTGGTGACGGCGTGGTTCTCAACGGGGTGTTTTGCCCTCAGGACACATTTGGCAACAGCTGGAGAAATTTTGGTTTCAACTCGGTGTGGGGGTGTTTTTGGCATCCAGTGGGCAGAGGCCAGGATCGCTGTGTCATCCTACAACGTACGAGCTGGACCCTCCCCGCAGCAGAGAATGACCTGATCCGAAAGGTCCCCAGCACCCAGGGAAGAAACCCTGCGGTGTGCAGATGAGGCTGCATCCTCGTCTCCATGACTCTGACTGTGTGTAAGAACAGGATGGTGCGTGTCTGGCAATGTATTTATTCATGTCCCTTCTTGTAATTAGGAGAGTCCAGTGCGGAGGTGGCCCAGGAACCTACCATGAGAAGGTGGAAGGTGACTGGCCGGGGGGGGGCCTGGAGGACTTGGGGTTCAAGATCTCCCGTAATCACTCTGTCCCCAGCCCTGCGACCCAGTCACTTTACCTCTCCATTTCAGTTTTTTACCTGAAAAATGAGTGCTTGGAATATGTGGGTTCTGAGGCCCTTTCAAGTTGAATGGTGTCTACATAGGATAACATTTATTTAGCTTTCTCTTTATCTTTTTACCAATGAAAATGAGTATCAGAAACAGAGATATTACATTGACTTTTTGAGAAGCACCCTTCACTGCTTTTCTTTGGTGGAAAGGCTGTGTATCCAACCAGCTTTGATAAAATAGGAGGACAGATAAATAAATACACAGCGTCTTTGATTCGCTCGTTATGGTTGGTGACCCCACAACTGTGCACTATGGTCCTTAACAAAGAGCCGAGCTGAAGCGTTGCATTGTGGGTAAGACAAGGAGCGGCAAAATGCCCATTGTTTTCCTTTGCTGGGAATCTGTCTTCTTGTGATTTCAGGTGGGAAACAGACGGCAGGAAGAAGTAAACATCCTGTTTGAGGGCAGTTGCCTTTGGTTTGGGCGAGTGTTAGGGATGGGGAATCACTGTGGGGTTTAACCACGAACAGAAAAATGCTCAGGGGCTGTTTGGTTTTCGGTTTTTGCTGTAAAGCATAGAGCAAGGCTTACATTTTATACAGGTCCCTAGGTCCCAAGATGGCAGTCTTTCCTGTATTTCTAAATATGGATCTAATCAACCTCACGGAGGATAAGAGAACTTAAAAGAAAGAAAGAGAGGAAATACAGATGGAACAAGTCAGGATGCAAGATTGATTTCCGATGCCTTGGACCACAAGTGACTAGTGTGCTTCACGCACTTCAGAAAGAATCAGCTGGTGCCCTGACCTCCACCTGTAGCTCCAGCCCTGCGCATGCCCAGTGCCGGCTTCATGCAATCTAGGGAACCTTTAAAGTTATCTGGCTGAAACAAGAATTCCTTCCATTGCAAGGAATCCAACTCCCAAGGCTTCTAGACATTGGAATCTTTGCCACCCAGTGATTTCTGGTGTTAGTGCTTTAGACTGGCCTACGGTGTTTATTTCCACAATCCCTAAAGTTGCCAGGATTGGAAAATCGGGAAACTTACTTCCTGTGACAGAAATAAACATCT